TGGAAAGGTTTGCCATTCATTTTATTTTCAAGTAACATCTGTGACAGATTTATATTAACCAATGTCAACCAATGTAATGTTAGAATGGTGAAATGTTTCTGTTATTGTAGTTAGCTTGGACATGTGTAATATTAGTCTGGTGTGAGGGCAGTGGAAATGTTTGCCATTCATGTTATTTTCAACAGTTATCAGTGTTAGATTTATATTAACCAATGTCTATTATTATAATGTTGGAATGATGAAATGTTTCTGTTATTGCAGTTAGTTTAGACATTTCTAATTCGGGGCCGGTGTGAGGGCAGTGGGAATGTTTTCCATTCATGTTATTTTCAACTTATATCAGTGTTAGATTTATATTAACTAATGTCAACCATTATATTGTTGGAATGATGAAATGTTTCTGTTGTTGTAGTTAGTTTAGACATGTGCAATCGTAGGCCAGTATGAGAGCAGTGGAAAGGTTTGCCATTCATTTTATTTTCAAGTAACATCTGTGACAGATTTATATTAACCAGTGTCAACCATTATAACGTTGAAATGGTGAAATGTTTCTGTTACTGTAGTTTGTTTAGACATGAGTAATATTAGTCCGGTGTGAGGGCAGTGGAAATGTTAGCCATTCATATTACTTTCAATTAACATCGGGTACAGATTTATATTAACCAGTGTCAACCATCATAATGTTGGAATGGTGAAATGTTTCTGTTATTGTAGTTAGTTTAGACATGTGTAATATTAGGCCGGTGTGATGGCAGTGGAGATGTTTGCCATTCATATTATTTTCAAGTAACACCAGTGATTGATTTATATAAACCAATGTCATACATTATAATATTGAAATGGTGAAATATTTCTGTTATTGTAGTTAGTTTAGACATGTGTAATATTAGTCCGGTGTGAGGGCAGTTGAAATGTTTCTCATTTATGTTATTTTCAACTGATAAAAGTGTTAAATTTATATTACCAATGACAACTATTATAATGTTAGAATGGTGAAATGTTTCTGTTTTAGTAGGTAGTTTAGACATGTCTAATTTGAGGCCGGTGTGAGGACAGTGTGAATGTTTGCCATTCGTGTTATTTTAAACTGATATCAGTGTTAGATTTATATTAACCAATGTCAACTGTTATAATGTAGGAATAGTGAAATGTTTCTGTTATTGCAGTTAGTTTAGACATGTCTAATATTAGGCAGGTGATATGGCAGTGGAAATATTTGCCACTCATGGTAGATTAAAGTAATATCTGTGCTAGATTTATATTAACCAATGTCAACAATAATAATGTTGGAATGGTGAAATGCTTTCTCTGTTATTGTAGTTAGTTTAACATGTCTAATTTGAGGCTGGTGTGAGGGCAGTTGGAATGTTTGCCATTCATGTTATTTTCAACTGATATGAGTGTTAGATTTATATTGACCAATGTTAACTATTATAATGTTGGAATGGTGAAATGTTTCTTTTATTCTAGTTAGTTTAGACATGTGAAATAGTAGGCCAGTGTGAGAGAAGTGGAAATGTTTCCCATTCATGTTATTTTCAACTGTTATCAGTGTCAGATTTATATTAACCAATGTGTACTATTATAATGTTGGAATGGTGAAATGTTTCTGTTATTGTAGTTAGTTTAGACATTTGTAATTCGAGGCCGGTGTGAGGGCAGTGGGAATGTTTTCCATTCATGTTATTTTCAACTTATATCAGTGTTAGATTTATATTAACTAATGTCAACCATTATAATGTTGGAATGGTGAAATAATTCTGTTATTGAAGTTAGTTTAGACATGTGTAATATTAGGCAGTTGGTATGGCAGTGGAAATATTTACCACCTATGTTATGTTAAAGTAATATCTGTGCTAGATTTATATTAACCAACGTCAACCAATGTAATGTTAGAATGGTGAAATGTTTCTGTTATTGTAGTTAGCTTGGACATGTGTAATATTAGTCTGGTGTGAGGGCAGTGGAAATGTTTGCCATTCATGTTATTTTCAACTGTTATCAGTGTTAGATTTATATTAACCAATGTCTACTATTATAATGTTGGAATGGTGAAATGTTTCTGTTATTGTAGTTAGTTTAGACATTTCTAAATCGAGGCCGGTGTGAGGGCAGTGGGAATGTTTTCCATTCATGTTATTTTCAACTTATATCAGTGTT